ACCTGTGAACCTCAGACTTGGAAAAAGCAAGACAGTCCCCAAGAATGGCAACAAGCATAAAAGTTTGTTGAATCGCCGGGCGTTGGTGGCGCACGTCTTTAATCCCAGCACTCGGGAGGCAGAGGCAGCTGGATCTCTGTGAGTTCGAGACCAGCCTGGACTACCAAGTGAGTTCCAGGACAGCTTCCAAAGCCACGGAGAAACCCTGTCTCGAAAAACCAAAAAAAAAAAAAAAAAAAAAGTTTGTTGAATCAAAAATCGAACACAAGTTGTCCCTCTCTCATTTTCTCGAACACCAAGCGAGTCAAGAAAAGTAAAGACAGAAACGCCCCACCCCGCTGTGCCCCCAGCCCAGCCGCACCCTGTCCCGGAGCCCCAAGCTGCCTGTAGTCCCCAAAGTCCGCTTGTCTCCAGCCCCGCCTCCGACTGCCTTGGAAACAGTGACGTTTATAGGGGGTGTGGCCTCTCTCCATCCTCTCCAACGGCTAGAGCCGCGCCTTAGCACAACCTGGGGGCAGGATGAGGTTAGAGTTGCTGGGTGCTCCCCCCCGCCCCTTAGGCGTGAGATAACTACGCACACTCGTCTGTACCTAGGAGGGTGCGCGCCTCGCTCTGGCTCTTCGCGATGTAATCCGAGATACGAGAGTTGGGGCCTGGGTTCCCGGGAACCTTTCCTGGCGAACCATCGGGGATGGAGGGGTGGAGGGGTGGGGAGGTGGAGAGTCTGGAAACTGCAGGCCTAGGTCTCCGAAAACCTCCTCTGGCGATCTAGGGGGAGTCTGGAGACTGCAGGCCTGTCCCCGAAAGCCCACTGCACCCTCCATCCTCGACGCTGTCCGGCAGCTCGTCTGGGCGCAGTCCCGCGTCTTCCTGGGCACCCGAGCTAGTTGCGCGTCCTGGGCGCGGGCGGGAAGGGGTTAAGCAAGGTGCCGGCGTGGGGCGCGGCGGGTGTGGAGGAGGGGAGCTGGGAGAAAGTGAGAGCGGGGGCGGTGGGGGGGGACCGGAGCGAAAGAACATCCTGTGCCGCCGCCGGATGCGAGGGGCGGGGGCGCGGGGGGAAGCCGGGCGATGCGCTCCGCCCCGCGCTCCTCCTCCAGGGCTCTGCCCGCTCCCGCGCTTCGCTTCACACGGCGTCTCCTGGTCCCCACGCCTTCGCGGGTCATGAGCTGGCCAGAGGGGCCCCTCGGCTCGAGTTCCCCGGCCGGGGTAAGCGCGGGGAGTGTGGAATCGGCTGCGAGGCACGGGCGCCCCCAGCCTTTCCCTCTGGATACTGATGGGGAGGTGTCTCTTGCGCACCGTTAGGGTGGGCACCTTCTCTGGGCCAGTCCTGCTGGCTGCACTTTCTGAGCCGACACGGAAACGCTGATTGTGGAATGTGACGAACCTCACACTGCGGAGATTAGAACCTGAATCCGCCGGACCGCAAAGGGCTTTTCTCTGGGTGTATTGAAGACTCAAAACCCTTGGTGGATAAGGCTCCCAAGAGACAGGCCTCGGGAGTAAAGATGGCTTAGCGTGTAAAGGCTGTTGCCTCCAAGCTTGACGACTTGAGTTCGATCCCCAGGTCCCACATGTTGGGAGATTTACAAAAATCGTTCTCTGTCATCCGCACATGTGCTTTGGCGCGCGCATCCCCTCCCCACCTCCCGAGTAATCTGAAATTTAGGGGAACCCGGCATGGTGACATCAAACCCAGCAATCAAGAGGCAGGAGCAGGCATCCAGAACTATCTAGAGTCTGCCTTAAAAAAAAAAAGCCAAAAGTAAAATAAAAATTGAAAGAGGGGAAGTGATCTAGAGGAATATTCTTTACCTGATCCAACCAGAAAAAGACAGCCAGGCAGTGGTGGCGCACGCCTTTAATCCCAGCACTCAGGAGGCAGAGAGAGGAGGATCTCTGTGAGTTCGAGACCAGCCTGGTCTACAGAGAGTGTTCCAGGACAGGCTCCAAAGCTACAGAGAAACCTTGTCTCCAGAAACAAAACAAGAGCAACATTGTTGCTAGCTGGCGCAGTGCTGCTATGTGTGGATAACAGTTTTTGCTGTACAGGTTAGCCTCAAACTGCTAGGTAATCAAGGATGACCTTGAACTTCTGATCCTCTTAGCTACACCTCCTGAGTGCTGGGGTTTCATAAGTGTACAGCTCCATTTCTACCAGGCCCCCAAGGGAGCCTGACGCCCTGAGGACACTGAAACACCCATGGTCCACGCTTGGGTGAAGAAAATGAGGGAGTAGCTTTGGAACCACAGATGGATGGTGGGTCTTACAGGCAGCAGCCCAGCAAAGTGGGCTCAGGGGATGTGCCTGTGGTTTATTGTTAGTGGAGGCATCTAAGAGGCCTTGCAGGGGACAGTTAGACTTGCCACCTGTGCCTGAACCCCAGGGAGTCTCATTATGACCAGAGTCAGTGTTTGTTAAGTTCTGCGACGCTAAATCCCCAGGTTCAGTCACCATAGGCAACTCCATGCACTGGGTCCTGGTTCCTTTGCACGGGGTGGAGGTGGGGGGTGGACTCAACACAGAAATCATAGGAGCAAGTTGTTGTACTGGCTCTCTGAGGCTTGGCTGCCTGCTTGACCAGTACCCATGCTGCCGCCATCAACTAAACTAACCTGCACTGAACACCTGGGAACTATCAAACCCGGAAGTTAAAAAGCTACCACAGGGTCAGAGCAGAGATTGTCTGTAGTTCAGGTGGCAGGGCCCTTGGTTGCCTTCGTGTGTGATAGCGTGTGTGTGTGTGTGTGTGTGTGTGTGTGTGTGTGTGTGTATGTTTCTCCTGTAAATGCAGCGTCTGGGGGTAGACCCGGATCCCTCAGTAAGCTTGTTAACAAACCTAGCCCTGTCTGAGTGCTCTGGGTTTGACTGAGGGACGCTGCCTCGCTGAGGAAGATGGGGAGTGATGGCGGCGTGCTGGCCAGCCTGGCACACCTGGGGAGAAGGCTCTTCCAATGAGCCCTTGCCTCCCTCAGACTGGCCTGTGGCCTTGTCCGTGGAGCATTCTCTTGGTTGCTGATTGGTCTGGGAGGTGCCAGTCCTTAGCAGGTGGCGACTGGGCTGTACAAAAAGTCTAGCTGACCGTGAGCCACAGAGCAAGCTAGAAAAAGACATTCCGTGGTTACTGCTTAGTTCCTGCCTTGATTTCCCTAAGTGATGGAAGCCAAATAGACCCTCTCCTCCCCAGGTTGGTGTTGGCCATGGCGTTTACCACAACAGAAAGCAAATTAGAAGACACAGTGGCAGAAGTTCAGCTCAGAAAAAGTGCCTAGGGATATGTGAGTGAAGTTGTAAATAGCAGCATCTCATCTCTGTACACGGTACTCCATAAGGATGATGAAAGAAGGAACGTCCTCCATTTTTCGATGTTGCGATCAGTCAAAAATTCAGAACAAAAGAAATCTATGAAAGTCATTTTTCTCTGAATAAATATGGAAGCTGTACTAATTATTTTTGAGAAGGGTTTCTTCAAATCAAAATCAAAAATAGTGACTTGTGACGAAAGCCATGAGCCTCAGTTAAAGCTTATAAATTCTGAAAATGAAGTTAGAGGCTTTGAAAGAATGAGCTAAATGGGCGAACTTACCCAAATACGTATATAAGACAAGAAGCCTTAGTCACCTCATTCAAAAATAGAGCACCGCTCAGCTCATCAAAATATCAGGCAGCCTCAAAGCTTACAACCACTGGTTTGTGGGTCTCAAAGTAGGAGTTAGAACGTTGTGGAACTAAATAAAAAGAACGTTCATGTAAAATCAGAGCGTGAAACCTATGGTGAAGATTTATTACTAGTGATTCAAACTACTTTAGCTCTTACAGGAAGGAAGGAAGAGTTGAATTCAGGTTCCTGGAACCATCAAACCTCAGTAATAACGAACTTAATAGCGAGATTATAAAGTGCCTCTCTGAAGGAAAAAAACAACATGCTGTAATCAATGACATTACCTGAAGGCGTATCTTTAGAGATACTACTTACATGTTATTACACGCTGCTGCCTGTGATGATCTCTCTGTAAAAAGCGCGATTACTTTGAGGAAGACCGAAGAAAAAACATTAAGACAAGCACCTCAGAAAGTGATAACTCACAAATAATTTAATGAGATAAAGATCTCAGTATACAGTAAAGTCAGCGAGATATTCATGAAATAGCAGTTTGAAAGAAGAAAGAAGAGGGAAGAAAGCATAAGACTCACTCTCAAACATCTATATAAAGCCATAGTCATGTATCAGAAGAAGTATGGCAGCTTTAAACATCTTCTTTAGTACTTCACTCTTTCCATCTGCTGGAACTTTCAGTGGACACTATGAATCTTGTCTTCTCTGAATATAAATAAAAGTATGACAAGGAAAACAGTCAGAAGATCATTCAAAGTTCTTGAGCTCACTCTCATAGTCAGCGGACAGAAAACAGACCTGGAAGCTCAGACAAGTTACCTCAAAAATAAAGGAGAGGAGGTGGAGAGACAGCTGGGGAGGGGGCGTTAAGAGCGCTGGCTGTTCTTCCAGAGAACCCGATTTGGTTACCAGCACTCACATCAGGCCGCTCACAACTGTCTGTAAATCCAGCTCCATTAGGTCCAACGCTTTGCTCTGGACACACACATACATAAAAAATCAGGGTGTAGTGGCACACACCTTTAACCCCAGCAAGGAAAAGGTGGAGGCAGGTAGGTCTCTGAGTTCCAGGTCAGCCAGGGTGAGATGCTGTCCCTAAAGATATAAATGATGAAAAATAAATGAAAATGGGCTGTGATGAGCCCATGGCCTTGCCCAGGCCAGGCAAGTACTGTCTCTGAGCCCTACGCAAGCCCTCCCTCCCTTCTACCCAAGAGTCCCCAGCTGCATCTCCACAGCCTCCCGAAGCCTTCTCTCCGTTACTCTGCTCTAGGCCTCCCGTTTCCCCGAGGGCCATCCTGAACCCCCTCAGCTCCCCAGTTTCCTTTGTTGCCTCGGTTCCAATTCTAGTACCCCGGTTCTTGGCCCTGCCAGGGTTCTGGTTCCAGAATGTTCTCTGCAGGTGCCTTGGGCCAACCTAGACACAAGGCAGCACTGAAGACATGGGCAAGACCATTCCCCGGTGCCTGCAGCAGTTGGACTTCCGCAAAAGCTTTGTGGGCCTAGCTACAGGCGCCGGGGCCATATACCTGCTGTACAAGGCCATCAGGGCTGGCATAAAATGTCAACCGCCTCTCTGCTCCAACTCGCCTATCTGCATCGCCCGTGAGTGTCCGGTCCCTGGGGAGAGGGCTCTGCCCCAGGAGGCACCTGCTCCCAAGGCCTCCTCTGGGGGAACGCCCAAAGGTGACTCCTCTCTCCCTTCTTTCCTCAGCCTGCCTCAGTTTCCCTCCCTCTCACTAGTGCCTGAGGCAAGGCTCTGCTATAGAGGACAGTTTGGGGGTTCCCTGGATAGCAGAGCTCATGGAGCAGGACCCCAGGAGTCATCCACCCCAGCTGTCTCTGTTCTATGTGGAATCAAGAGATTTATCTATCTTGCTTTCCCCCAGGAACTGGAGACATTGAGGGAAAGAAAAGTTGGGAGGACTTTTTGCCTTAAGCTTCCTACTCAGTCGTAGGGTATTTAAAATCCTATTTTATGGGCTGGAGAGAGATGGCTTAGCGGTTGAGAGCACTGACTGCTCTTCCAGAGGACCTGGGCTCAACTCCCAACACCCATGGCAAAACACCAGTGTATATAAAATCAAAATAAATGAATTTTAAAAACTCTAATTTTATGTGTTGGGTATTTTCCCTGTGTGTGTATATATATGTGCACCACTTTGGTGCAATGCCCACAGAGTTCACAAGAGGGAGTCGGGTTGCCAGACTGACGTGACAGACGGTTGTGAGCCGCCATGCGAGTGCCGGGAATAGACCCTGGGTCCTCTGGAAGAGCCGCCAACCAGTGTCCTTAGCGACCAGGCCATCTCTTTAGTCCCCATTGGGCACTTTTGTGCCATCAGGGAAAGGGTCACTTGAGATTGCTGGTTGTCCTCTGCCGGGGTATCCGGTGAGAGCGAAACCCTGCCTGTTACTGCTGTGCGCCAGGAAAGCTGTGGTTGTGAACCGACAATTGAGCGAGGGGGAGGGTGACGGACGGCCCAGCGTCGGTCGTGGTCCTTGGTGCAGGTGTCTACTCTGTGCAGCTAGTGCGAGCGGCCGGACACAACAGAAGCCTTCGTCTTAGGAAGACCTTTGCTCCCAGCCCCCTCCTCGCTCTCCCCCACCTCCCAGCCCCTCGCTTCCGCCAGTTCTAAGTCCATTCCCTGAACTGTGGGGTCTGGGTGCCTTCTAGGCCTGGCCATCGAGAGAGAGCGCCACGGGCGGAACTCGGGTGAGATCCGAAGGCTCCTGAACTCTCTAGAGTGCAAGCAGGACGAGTATGCCAAGAGTATGATCCTGCACAGCATCACCCGCTGCGTGTACTTGTTGGAGGCTGAGGTGAGGAGAGGCGGGGGCGGGGAGGGGGCTGGTTGGCCTGGGCCCTGGCTTACAGCTCACCCCCAACCCCAGGACGGCCCGGGCAGCATCCTCAGACTGTCCCTCTGTCTGGTGGCAGCAGGGGGAGGTCTCAGAGGCGGGGGACAGCGGGGCTGGGGCACCTGCTTCTCCTGTTTCTCTTCGAACACTCTAGGCCTCGGCTTGTACTATCGATGATATCAGCTTGATAGGTGAAATGCTGGATGACAAGGACAACAGTGTCAAAATCCAAGCCCTGAATGCCCTTAAAGCGTTCTCTGGCATCAGGAAATTCAGGTTCAAGATCCAGGTAAGCCTGGGCAGGGGTCGCTAGACGTCCCCAGGGTCTGGGTCCTTCGATTTGTACAGGGTGAATGGCTGTGTCATGTCCTGTAAGTTTGTTGGAATCTGAGTTTCTTTTTTTTTTTTTTGTTTTTGTTTTTGTTTTTCAAGACAGGGTTTCTCTGTATTGTTTTGGAGACTGTCCTGGAACTCGCTCTGTAGACCAGGCTGGCCTTGAACTCACAGAGATCCGCCTGCCTCTGCCTCCCGAGTGCTGGGATTAAAGGCGTGCACCACCAATGCCCGGCTTTGAATCCTGAGTTTCTAACCCAGAAATAAGTGAGGAGATCACAGACCACGCTCATCCCCACACATCTGGATGGCACTAGACTCCCAAAGAACAGAGAGTCCTCAGAGTCTCAGACACCAGCACATAACACACAGTTCGAGTTACTAACCTACGGCTTGGTTTCTCCCGCACTCCCCAGAGGAGGAGTGACAATGCCAGCAGCCCCCAACTCTGCCACCCCACCCCGGTGGAGCATGGAGTGGGACTGAAAATTCCTGTCCCCTAATCCTGGCTTAGTCTTTTTGGTGACCTAAGGGCTCACCACAAGGATGCTACAAAATGTTTAAGAAGCAAAGGCAGCTGCAGACTTAACTAGCTCATCTGGGGGAGACCTGGCCTCACAAGCAAGAGACACCCTGGCTTTGACGGCCCTCTCCCTGCACCATGGAAGCCAGGTGAGGTTCACACACCTGTACTCCCAGCATTTTGGAGGTGGAGGCAGGAGAATCAGGAGTTGAAGGCCATCCCTGACTCGGGAAAAAATTAAAAAAGTAAAATCTAAAATATAAGGTCTTTGACCCCAAATTGCTTTCTAGCAAAATACTTCTTTCTCACCAGTTAAAAATAGCTAAGGGGCTGAAAGACTAAATGCGCTGGCCTGAGTTTGACTCCTAGAAACCAGTGGATGGAGAGAACTGACCCCCAAAATTGTTCTCTGGTCTCCGCATGCATGGTATAGCACACGTGTACCCCAAGTCTCTCTCTCTCTCTCTCTCTCTCTCTCTCTCTCTCTCTCTCTCTCTCTCTCTCTCTCACACACACACACACACATGCTGGCTACTTTCGAAACAGGGTTTCTCTGTGTAGTCCTGGCTGTCCTGGAACTCACTCTGTAGACCAGGCTGGCCTCGAACTCAACAGAGATCCAACTGCCTCTACTTCCTGAGTGCTGGGATTAAAGGCATGTGCCACCACCGTCCTGCTTAAAACATATAAGAAAGAATAACAATTCAAACAAAACCCAGGGCAAGATGGTTCAGTGGGTAAGAGGCTTGCCTCTAACCCTGACCACCTGAGCTCCGTTCCCAGCCACCATGTGGTGGAAGGAGCGAACCCAACTTCCACAAGTTGCCCTCCGACCCCCACATGTACACATGCAGGCAGCACGTTCCCCAGACACGGCAGGCCCCAAGAGCAGGCCGCCTCCACACGAGCTACCCTCCGGAAGGGCTGTGGCCTCACATCTGATGCCTCGGGTGCACTCTGTGTGGCCAGGCAGGCAGTGGGTAGTGTGCTGTGTCTGAAGCTCTGTGTCCACAGGGAGGTTGTGGGTTAGTGACCTGTGCTTCCTGGGGACGACACCTGACAACCTGAGGGAGGAAAGGTCTACTTTGGTTCACTTGTTTCAGGGGGCTCCGGGCCATTGTGGTGGGAGCAGCACGGTGGAGCCCCTCAGCTTGTGGCTGTGGTGGAGTGTGTGACACAGGCTGTGCTCAGCACATAAAATGAGGGGGAGAGAGACAGAAATAGAGAGAGACAGAGGGACAGATCTAGCCTCTAAACCCCACCCATAGTGACCCAGGGCAGCCAACTGGGTCCTGCCTCCCAAATGGTTCTAGATCTTGCCAAACCTCTGCCTGTGGAGAACATTTTATATTCTGTTTTAAAAATTATGTGTATGTGTATGTGTGGGGGTATGTACACGTAGGTGCAGTGACCTTGGAGGCCAGAAGAGGGAGACACAGTCCCCTGAAGCTGGACTGGGAGGTGTCTCTGAGACACCTCACTGATGCTGGGAACTGAACTTGGGTCCTCTGTGAGAACAGCAAGGGCTCTTAACCTCTAACCACGTCTTCATAAAATTCCTCCCCTGCCCCCAAGTTTCATAGTCGTGTCCTATGCATTAACGAGTGCATTTGGTCCGTCTCTTGACATCTCTCACGTCTGGACGGTTCCCCTGGTGACTGCAGGTTAACTCTCCTGAGACTCGGCATACTCTTAAAGAACCCCTGTAAAATCATAAAGACACTCCCAGCACAGAACCCCAGAGAGAACACTGCCATTCCAAAAGGGAGGAGGGGGGGATAAGAGTGGAGAAAGGAGGGGTGGGAGCAGAGCCCGGCTGAGCAGACACTAAATCCTGCAGCTCCATGCCTGGCAGCTGACGCCGTGTGACACGGAGTATCACAGAGCTTGCGTGTGTAATCCCGCCGCTGAGGTCTTACGCTTGCAGCCTCTCTCTTGGGCTGGCACGCTGTTAACACTGACAGCTGTCCTCAGCAGACACCCCGCGTTCCCAGCACCCCTTATCTTGGAGTCTCCTTTGCAGTGTAGCTTCCCCACCACAGCCTTAAGCATAACGCTCTCGGGGGCTTTGGGAAGGGAGCACGGCTCTGTGACACTGCCTGGCGGCTTCTGTGCTTTGGGTTTCTTGTCTGCCTTGGGTTTCTCTGCTCTCTGGAATCTTGGTGGAAGCGGCTATGACTTCATAAATTTTTTTAAAATGTTGTTTACTAAGTCTGTATGCAGTGTTCTGCCTGTACTGCCACAAGAGGGCGCCAGATCTCATTATAGATGGTTGTGAGCCACCATGTGGTTGCTGGGAATTGAACTCAGGACCTCTGGAAGAACAGTCACTGCTCTTAACCTCTGAGCCATCTCTCCTGCCCCTGACTCCATGTTTGTCCTGTGCATGCCTGCGAAGCCAGCCCACGATTATGATGCTAAGTGTTGTTGCCCGCGTGGGGAGTGGCTGGGCCACGGTGCACCACAGCCACGGTGGCCTTTGAGTTCCCAGGGCAGCCGAACACTTTTCTAGGTGGCCCTTTGACAGCAGGGCACTCCAGTGGCCCTCTGTTTTGAAAGGAAAGTCTTGCTAGTGAATCTGCACTTTCATGCCCTGGAGTGAGATTTCATCTCAAATGTTTAGAAATCACCTTTTCCTATCGTCTCATACAAAGTGCTCACCATTTCTTTAACGGGGTCAATCTCTTTACCAAGTACAGTCACTTTTTCTGCAATTTTAAATGCACTCCTCTTATGCCTGCGCAGATTACATGTACTCAGATCCTTCTGCTCTGCTCTTTCTTCCCAATCTTCACTGAGTCTGGCTAAGGGTGGTTAACAATAACCACACCACAGCCTGAATGTTGTGCTGTCTTTAAAATTGTTCCACCAAATCAGTAGGCCTATTGCTTTTAAAATTCAACCTCACTCAAAATTTCAAGGCACAGGAAAAATCTCGACAAAATCTTCATGAAACATGGGTGACCTGTGCTCCAATTCTTAGCCCGCTCCTCCTTCCCATCTGAACCCTCACAGACGTAGTCTGTACTGTTTGGTGTCTTAATCAGTGTTCTGTACTCTCAACAGCCCCCCAAATCACCCATGAATCTCCACTTCCAGTGTTCTGTGTCTAGCCTGTGTCTCCAAGCTTTTCCAAATTCCTCTGCAAACGGGTTCCAAAGGCCTAAGAACTACACTAGGGAGAGTATAGGCATCCAGCAACGTTGACAAGCGTTTAGCAGGAGCCCCAGCCCTGGTTTCCCGTGTGAGTTCACTCTGCAGCATTGCCGTCCCGGGGTGACAGAAACACCTACAGGAGGCAATGTCTATCTTGGCTCGTGGTGGTTTCAGTTTGTCACAGTAGGGGAGGCACGACAGCGGCTTGGCCCGTGGTGGTGAGAGCCTGTGGTATGGGGGTACAGGCCACAGACCCCCGGGAAGCAGAGAAAGACACAGGAACCAGAAGATCTAACTTTCAAAGGCCCACCTCTCCCAGCCCACGTCCACCAGCCAGGCCCCTCCTCTCTTGTTCTACAGCCTCCCAAATGGTGCCACCAACGGGGACCAGGGTTCCCAAACATGAGCAGGGGAGGGGCGTTCTGGTTTCAAACCAGACGTACATATGTGGGCTGTTTTCTTCTGTGGTTTGCTTTCACACGCGCCCCAAACATGGAAAAGACCAGGGTTTATTTATCCTTTGCTGGACGTTTCGCTTCCTCTTTTTGATAGCGGCCAATATACAGTGGTCTGTCCTGCGGTCACCTCACTGTGTGCCCGTGGCTGGACATTTGCTCTTTCCCTGATAATTCCTGCACCTCCCCATGCCGTCAGAAAGCTGTGCACACCTCCACGCAGCCCCGGGAGTGAGTGTTACTGTAGCCCTGCCTGCAGGAGAGGGAAGGCTTGGTCCGAGGTGGTACCCAGCTTTTCCACAAGCGTTAACCCAGCGTACAGTGCCATCAGGCCTGTGAGACTGTCCTGACTGAGGATTGGGGTGGGTGCCCAGCCCACTGTGTGTGACACTATGTCTGTCACTGTCATAGGCAGGTGGGCCTGGGTTCTGTAAGAACCAGTGAGTGATTAGAAAGCAACATTCCTCCATGGTTCTTAAAAACAAAAACAAAAACAAAAAAAACACTTACTTTATATGTGTGAGTATTTTGCCCACATGTGTGTATGAGTGATACTCAGAGACCGTAAGGGGGGAGGGCAGATCCTGGAGTTACTGGTGGTTGTGAGCCACCATGTGGGTGCTGGGAACTGATCCTGGGTCCTCTACAAGAGCAGCCGGTGCTCTTAACTGCCGAGCCGTCTCTCCAGCCCTCCTCCCTAGTTCTTTCTCCAGGTTTGTACCCTGCCTTCACTTGTGACCCGGAGCTATAAACCAAATCAACTGTTTCCTCCTCCACGTTCTTTCAACCAGGATGTTAGTCACAGCCCCCCCACACACACACACAGAGAGAGAGAGAGAGAGAGAGAGAGAGAGAGAGAGAGAGAGAGAGAGAGAGAGAGAGAGAGAGAGCAAACCAGAACTGTTTCTTACATGAGAAAATGGTTTTGAAACAAAAGTTTGGGCTGAGATATCATGGTGTATTTCTGTAACCCTAGTATTCAGGAGACTGAGGTCAGAGGATCATGAGTTTGAGGCCGGCTTGGAGTTCTAGGGTGAGACTGTTTTGAAAAGAGTTTTTCCTGATGTCTTCACTGGCCACTGCCTCCCAGTGCCTCAGCTCTCTCTTGCCTGAAGCCCTGGTCCTCCCAGATCACCCGCACGCAGCTTCCAGGAGAGAGACAGGGGCGCCACCCTACAGAGTTCACTTCCGCTGGGAGCTGCGGTCTTGCCGGCTGCACACCCCTCAGTTGTGAGGGCTGAGCCCTTTCCGTTTAGAAATGCTCTCCTGGCCCCTGCAGCCTGGGGAGGGGATCCCCTGCTTCCTCATGGCCAGCCGCTAGAAGGCCCCTAACCCATCTAACTCAATCACATCACCCGCTTGCCCTTCTTGGAAACGTTGAGCATGAAGTGGGCCATGCCATGCCTCCTTGCCCCAACCCCAGGCGTTTATAATTTTGTGTGCATTGGTGTTTCGCCAGCATGTGTGTCTGTGTGAGAGTGTCGGGTCCCCAAGAACTGGAGTTACAGACAGTTAGGAGCCATCTCGATGCTAGGACTCGAACCCAGGACCTTTGAAAGGGGTGTCAGTGTTCTTAACGGCCGAGTCACGTCTCCAGCCCACCCCAGCCATTTGAAAGGAAGCTTCAGACCCTCTCTCCCTGTCCCCACACCTGGCCTTCCTTCTTTGAGGCCCTGCCCCAGATGCTCGCTCGCCCCCAACTCCCAGGAGGCTGTGCAGTGGGCAGGAAATCCCTGCTTTCACGGGAACTCTGCCTCACTGCTGTAATGTCTCAAACCTCAAAACTCAAGGTCCCTCCATCCACTTGGCCATTGCGCCCTAACTTTGGGCCCTGGATAGAGAAGGAAGGACGCTGGTCCTTGAGGGATACACATCCTACCAGGGCGAGTCAGGTGACACGCAGTCAGATACACAGTGCCTCTGATGTGACTGATGACTTGTGGGGGAAATAAAGAAGGGTGAAGCAGCTTTAACCCCAGCACTCGGGAGGCAGAGGCAGGTGGATCTCTGTGAGTTCAAGGCCAGCCTGGTCTATAGAGTGAGTTCCAGGACAGCCAGGGCTACACTGTGAGATTCTGTCGAAAGAGGGGGAGGGGAAAGAGAGGGGGGGGAGAGAGAGAGAGAATTGGAGAATGATGCAAGTTGGGGCTTGGGGAGGAAGTGGGGTTAGCGGGTGGGCTGGTGACCTTACCCACCGGTGAGGCAGAGGAGAGGGGGTCGGGCAGAAGGTTTGGGAAGACAGAGAGAGAAAGCGCAGCAAGCAGAAAAACCCATGTGAAGTGGGCGTGGCTAACCGAGGCCCCTGACACTTGGGGTTCAAGGCAGAAAGCATTACCTGCTGGGTCCTGGGTGGGTCAGTGAAGGGCGACTTGGAGCGCAGTGTGTCGGGGAGGTCACCATACGAGGGCAGACCTGTCTCTCCACCCCAGGAACACTCCATCAAGGTGCTGGAGCTCATCTCTACCGACTGGGACACGGAGCTGCATGTGGCTGGCCTTCGCCTCCTCAACAACCTCCCGCTCCCCGACTACGTGCACCCGCAGCTCAGGCGGGTGATGCCCGCCTTGATGGAGATCATGCAGTCAGACTGTAACCTGGCACAGGTGCCTGCCCATCAGGGCCGCGGCTCCACCCCCCGGCAGTCCGGGAGCAGCAACTAGGGGAAGAGCAGAGGTTCAAGCGGCGGTTGCGGAAGCCTAGACCCACCCACCCTCTCCTGCTGTTCCTTCAGGTGCAAGCCGTCCGCCTGCTGAGTTACCTGGCGCAGAAGAACGACCTTCTCTATGACATTCTCAACTGTCAGGTGAAAAAAGACGGAGGGAGGGCCGAAGGGATCGGCAAGATTGCGTTCACTGGATACACTTCTTTTTTTAATTACTTTTTAAGGTGCATGGGTGTTTGCATGTGTGTCTGTGTGCGGTGCCTGTGGAGGCCAGGAGAGGGCAGCAGAGCCCCTGGAATTGGAGCGACTGAGGGTTTGTGAGCCACCCATGTGGGTGCTGCGGATCCTCTGCAAGAGCAGTCAGAGCCCTCAGCCGCTAAGCCACCTCTCCAGCCTCACACATGGAGGCTTAAAATTAGTCTCAGGGGACTCACTCGCCCCTGCGCTCTAACCACGGTCTCCGGGAAAAGATAATGAGAGGGAAACGGAAACGTGGGGCTCCGGAGAGCGGAGCCCGCGGGAAGCCAAGGATGAGGCTTTTAGAACGGTCGGGAGCGCGCTCATGCGTTCTCTCGCACCCCACCGCAGGTGCATCCCACCTTCCTGAACCTCCTCCAGACCTCGCAGCCAGGAAATCTGCTCTTCGAGGTGCTGGTCTTTGCTGAGCGGCTGAGCGAGGGCCGCAAGGCCACCCACTACCGAGCCGTGAAGTGGCATTACAACGAGCAGTCCCTGCACGAAGCCCTCTTTGGGGACGAGTCCCGCCTGGCAGATCGGCTGCTTTCCCTGGTCATCCACCCCGAGGAGGAAGTCCAGATCCAAGCCTGCAAAGTCATAGTCAGCTTGCAATGTCCCCAGGACTTGGGGTGCCGGCCCTCAGCCTGCCGTCCCAGCCATTCCTACTTTAAAAACGGGGAGTAACGAACGTTAAAAAGAACCAATAAATGCGTACGGGAGGAAAGCGTGAGGCTTCTGGAAGCACAAATCTGTCCGTTGTGTCCCAGGGCCTGGGCTGAGGCGCCGTTCATCACGACCTCCGCCTAGGCCATGGCACAGCGTGGGCGAGTCTCCCAAACACATCCCTCCTTCTGTTGCTGCTCTTCAAATCTGATTTTCTTTTCCATTTTTTGTGTGTGGGATGTGTGTGTGTGTTTCCATGTTTGTGCATGTGTGTGTGCATGCGTGTTATGTGTGTGCGTGTGCTTGTGCACACGTACATGCTTGCGCATGTGGAGGCCCACACTTGATGTCAGGCTTAGCCGCCTCCACCTTACTCCCCGAGGCAGGCGGGGTGTCTCAGCCAAACCCTCTCACTAAGATGCCGCCTCGCGGGCCGCTTCATTCTGCCTTCGAGGCTGCAGGGACAGGCGGCCACTCTGTCCATCTGGCATCCTCGTGTGTTCTGAGGAGTATGAACTCCAGTTCTCATGTCTGCACGGCAAGTACTTGATCCCCCACGTCATCTCTAGATGACTTTTAAAACCTGACTGTGAAGCCCATCCTCTCCTAGGAGGACATAGGTGCTGTGTGTGTGTGTGTGTGTGTGTGTGTGTGTGTATGTCTGTGTGCATGTATGTCTGTGTGCATGTATGTGTATGTCTGTGTGCATGTATGTGTCTCTGTGTGTTTGTCTCTGTAAGTGTGTGTGTGTGTGTCTGTCTGTTATAATGGAAGTACAGGTGCTGGGAACCCGGGTCCTCTGGTACCAAGTGCTGCTGTCGCTGAGCCATCTCTCCAGCCCTCCATCTATGGTGGAAGACTGTCCCCCAGTCCCTCCTGTTGGGAATGGTGTGGACTTTTAGGGGGCGGGCCCTTGTGGGAGGTGCCCCTGTGAGGCTGTGGGCGGGCTCTTTCTGACCTCTGGTGGTGATACCTCTGCTGGTTCACGAGCTCCTGCTGTGACACCGCCATCCACCCCAGGCCTTACCAGAGGCTGCATCCGTGGACCTTGCCTCACCCTGGATTAGAACCTTCACAATGATGGCTTAAAGCCAGGTGTGGTGCAGCCTGGCTTTAATCCCAGCACTGGGGAAGCAGAGGCAGGCTGCTGTGCGTGTCCTACACTGCACGTTCTCACTTATTTTGTTGGTCTGTTCTTCTAGAGAACCCGAATGCAACTCCCTACAATCAAGCTACTTTTGCGCTTTCATTTTGTGTATGTTTGCATGTGTGTGTGTGTGCACCCGTGCCATGCCACAGCACGGATAAGTCAGAGGACAACTTTCCAGAGGAGAGTTAGCTCTCTCCTTCCACCATGTGGATCCCCGGATTGAACTCGGGTTGCTGGGCGTGGCAGCAAACACCTTTACCTGCTGAACCATCTTGCTGGCCCAGGCACGTTCGTACACCGTGTGCCTCTTCAAGTCCTGGCTGGAGGAAGAGCCACAGCTTGCTCAGAGACTCCCACTGGAGAGCTGAGGAAAACCCCCGCGTGTCCTTGAGTGGCAAACAGGGAAAGGGACTGTGCCTGTGTCACCTGCCTCTCAAAGTTGCCACCAGAAACGATGTCATGCTCACACATCAGCGGCCACAGCGGGGCTGTGGAGGAGGCACTGAAAATATTTGGTGACAACATCAAGGGACAGAGATGACAGACAGACTAGGTAAGAGTGCTGGGTTCAAAACCTAGTCCTGTCACCTATTAGCTGTGTGACCTGGGGTGAGGTATGACCCTGTGTGAGCCTCAGTCTCCTTGTCTATAAGATAAACAGAAAAAATAGCACTTAGGGCCTCTTGGGACTGTGATACATTAGAGGAGCTGTACTGTGATGTCATCGTGGAGAAGACACAGATTGTCACTTCTCTGGGGCGACAGCCCCTGGGGAGACTGCCCAAAGACAAAAAAAAAAAAACAAAAGCCAGCAGTTATTTGTTATCTCTGGAACTTGGGAGTGTTTTTGTTTGACTGCTCTGGTTCAGTTAAGCTGTGATTGGTCCGGCCTTGGCCAGGGCTCTCTGTGGGCAGCTGTCCCCTCACTGATGGCAGGTCCTCACCCTCTCTACAGGCTGTTGGAGTGTCTTCAGGCCATAGCACGTGGCTTCCCCAGAGGAAGTCTAAACAGATCTGAATACCGTGTATTCTAAAGAATGAAGCAGAGAAAACTGTGTCTGGGACCTGCAAGGTGGCTCGTGGGTAAAGGTGCTTGCTGCCAAGCCTGAGGATCTGAGTTCAGTCCTCAGCACCCGCATGGCAGAGGGAGAATAGTGACTCCCGCAAGCTGTCCTCTGACCTCACGTGCGCCACGGCAGGGAAGCGCCACACCACACACCGCAAACATTTAATAAATGGGATTTTTTTTTAAAGGAAAACTGTTGCATTTCAATTCTCCCAGGGTGAGTTTTCCCCCTTGAGGATTTCGGTTTTTAGCACCTTTGAGAAGCACAGACAATCGAGGAAGGCAGCGTTAGGCTTCATCACCCTCAGACTCACGTGGGGTACAGTCCGCAGGCTAGTGTGGTCACTGATCTCCCTCTACACTCTGAGTGTCACCAAACACACGGAGTGAAGCGTCCACTCAGCTCTGGTTGGCGGCTAAAAGGCTTGAGGGCTGGGAGAACCCAGATTGACCTGGGTTTAATTCCCAGAACCAATGCCAAAAACCACACTGGGTCCCAGCGGTCCAGGGGTGGCCAAGCAGCCCCATGACTGGACGAGCCCCTCCCTGCCACGGGGGACACACAGAAAACCCCCAGGGGCAGATGTCAGCAGACAGGAAGGTACAAGCGGGAGGGGAGAGGGGAGCAGGGGGAAAACCGGCTGCTGCTGGTCATGGACTACATACAGGTCTGATTGCAGAAAACCGGACAAAGGCACAGCCAGGCCCCTCTGCAGCAGAGAAACAAGAAGCCATGTGTGAGTAGCCATCTGTGTCTGTCAGGGGCCCCGCCCCTCTCCTGTACAGTCCAGAGGAATACATTGTCAACTAATTTATTATTGTTATTTTATTGATTTCTTTTGGTGTTTACAAATGGTTTCTCTATGTAGCCCTGGCTGGCCTGGTACTTTCTTTGTAGACCAGGCTGGTCTCGAACTCAGAGAGATCTGCCTGTTTCTGCTTCCCTAGTGCTGGGATCAAAGGTGTACGACACCACCTCCCGGCCTGCCAACTTTCTTTCTTTCTTTCTTTCTTTTTTTTTTTTTGGTTTTTCGAGACAGGGTTTCTCTGTATTGTTTGGAGGCTGTCCTGGAACTCGCTCTGTAGACCAGGCTGGCCTCGAACTCACAGAGATCCGCCTGCCTCTGCCTCCCGAGTGCTGGGATTAAAGTTGTGCACCACCACTTTATGGGAGGTCTTAAGGGAACTTTGCCTGGTCTGAGTCTGGAACATCACTGAGTAACTTTCAAAGGAACAGCACGAGACTCCAGAGCTCTGGTACAAGTGTAAAGAACTGAAATGTCTGTGCTGACCCACAACCCATAAAAACTCCCTTGTGGAAAAACAAAACCAAAGCAACAACAAAAACAGGGCTGGAGAGACGGCTCAGTGGTGAAACGCACCGCACAGGCTGCTCTTTCGGAGGACCTGAGCTCAGTTCCCAGCACCCACTGGGTGGCTCACAATCTGACTCCAGCTCCGGGGAGCCAACAGCCTCTTCTGAAGGGCACAAGGCACGCACGGGGTGCTCGGGCATTCGTGCAGGGCAAAGATACAGAGAAAACAAAACGCAGACATGGTGCTAAGCTCCTAATCACACAACTGGGGGGACACTGCGGGGGGGCCTTGGGGCACACTAGCCAATCAGGCTCATATGTAAGCCCCAGGCAAGGAAGAGACACTGTCGCAAAATATCTCCTTTCAACTTTTTATTTTTTATTTTATTTTATTTTTTGGTTTTTGAGACAGGATTTCTCTGTATTGTTTTGGAGGCTGTCCTGGAACTCACTCTGTAAACCAGGCTGACCTCGAACTCACAGAGATCCACCTGCCTCTGCCTCCCGAGTGCTGGGATTAAAGGCGAGGCGTGCGCTACCAACACCCTGCTTTTCTTTCAGCTTTTTAAAAAGCGATGGCGCCTGAGGGACACCACCTGGGGCTGTCTGCCATCTGGCTCCCACAGGTGCAGGCGCCCAAATGGAGCGCTAATGCCACGATGAAACGACCCAGAGAGTCACATGACAGTCTGCAGGTGCTGGGGCGCCGACAGAACGAGGAGGAGACCCCAAAGCATCCCCACTGGAAGGCTCCACCCAGCATGGAGAGTGGCATCTTCTTCAGAGTCACACAGATGTCACTCCGCTCACGTCTGTTTCCAACAAACCCTAGCCTCGCCCACCCTGGGCCTTGAGAAAATAGGGCAGAGCAGCGTGCAAATGGCCAAGAGGTGCAGAAGACGCTCACACGAGGGTCCGGTGACCGACCCCGCCCCTTCTCTGAGGGGGTGGTCGGCTGGCCCGATGCTCTCACAAGCATGCGCACTGATCTCCGGAAGACAGACCTCGTGCTCGGGGAACCTCACGCTGCTCCCCACCCCCAGCTTTGGTGACGCAGCTGGGCGCTGCTGAGCTGTCACTGGCTCTCAAGGACTGGGGAGCATACCAACTCTGGGGACTCGGGGTGAATCCGGCCGCCCCCATGTCTGCTTTAGGCACCATCTTACTGGGAGAAAGTCAGGCCTTTAAGAATTCCCATGGCCGCCGGGCGGTGGTGGCGCACGCCTTTAATCCCAGCACTCGGGAGGCAGAGGCAGGCGGATCTCTGTGAGTTCGAGTCCAGGCTGGACCGACAGCCTCCAAAACAGAGAAACCCTGTCTCGTAAAACCAAAAAAAAAAAAAACAAACAAACAAACAAACAAAAAAAAAAGAATTCCCATGGCCAACACCAACCTGGGGAGGAGAGGGTCTATTTGGCTCCCATCACTTAGGGAAATCAAGGCAGGAAGTAGTAACCACGGAATGTCTTTTTCTAGCTTGCTCTTTGGCTCACGGTCAGCTAGACTTTTTGTACAGCCCAGTCGCCACCTGCTAAGGACTGGCACCTCCCAGGCCAGTCAGCAACCAAGAGAATGCTCCACGGACAAGGCCACAGGCCAATCTGAGGGAGGCAAGGGCTCATTGGAAGAGCCTTCCAGCACGCCGTCACTCCCTATCTTCCTCAGCGAGGCAGCGTCCCTCAGTCAAACCCAGAGCACTCAGACAGGGCTAGGTTTGCTAGCAAGCTTACTGAGGGATCTGGGTCTACCCCCAGATGCTGCATTTACAGGAGAAACGCCACACCCGCCCGGCATTTACGCATGGATTCTGGGGATCTGAACTCTGGTTTGCTTTTACCACTGAGTCACAGCACACATTTGCTCCAAAGACTCTAAACACAGCCAGCAGGTGGTGTGCACGCCTTTAATCCCAGCACTGGGAGGCAGAGGAAGACTGATCTCGGTGAGTTTGAGGTCAGCCTGGTCTACAGAGCGAGTGCCAGGACAGCCAGGCCTACACAGAGAAACCCTGTCTCAAAACACCAAAGCAACCAAACAAGAGAATACTAGGACAGCCACACAAGTAGCTGACAGAGACAGAAAGATATCTATGGCAAGGGGCAAACAAACCAGGGAACTCTCCCTTGGTAGAGCAGTGGGTGTCCACAAGGGGGCAGTGGGAACCAGCTGGTAGATCTTGACCAACATGTGTTTTTGTTGTGTTTTGTTTTTTTATTTTTTTGAGACAAGGTTTCTCTGTGTAACTTTGTAGACCAGGCTGTCCTGGCTGTCCTGGAACTCACAGAGCTCCACTTGCCTCTGCCTCCCGAGTGCTGGGACTAAAGGCGTGCACGACCAACTCCCTGACTTACTTCAACCAGCAGTTTTTAAAGACCAAAGAGATTAAGATTTAAAAAAAAATCCTCAGAGCTGGATGTGATGACTCACCCCTGCAGTTGTAACACTTGGGAGGCTGAGGCAGGAGGATTGCCACGAGTTTAAGGCTAACTGGGACTACATAATGAGTTCCAGGCCAGATTGGGCTACAAAGTAGAACCCAGTCTCAGAACAAAACCAAAGCAAACTCCCAGCGTCTCGTGTGGTGAGCTGGGTGAGGGGGCACTTGCCGGCGATGCTAGCACTGGGAAGGCAGAGGCAAGCCGGTCAGGAGTCCAAGGCCAGCACATCGTGGCAGGGGCTCTCCATCATCTGAGAGTCATATGAGGCCCTGTCTCAAAAAAATTGCAAAGAGGGCTGTGGGGATGGCTCAGCGGGCAAAGGTGCTTGCAGCCAAGGCTGAGGACCTGAGTTCCATCCCTGGAACATAACTGGCAGGAGGTGAGAACAGCCCCAAATTGTCCTTTTCAAGCCCATACTTGCACTATGGCAATTGTGTCTTCCACCGTATTAAAAAAACATCCTTTAGACCCAGCACTCAGATAACAGAAGCAGGCGGATCTCTGTGAGTTTGAGGCCAGCCTGGTCTACATTGCAAATTCCCGGTTAGCCAGGGCTGTATGGTGAGAAGCAATCCTTTTCCCTAAAAGGACACAGAAGCTTCCACAGAGCATTGCATGAAGGAGAGACTCCTGAGGACATCAGACTAGTGTGTGTGTGTGTGTGTGTGTGTGTGTGTGTGTGTGTGTGTGTGAGAGAGAGAGAGAGAGAGAGAGAGAGAGAGAGAGAGAGAGAGAGAGAGAGAGAGAGAGAGAGAGATCCTGGCTTCACATGTCTGTGGACACAGAACTGTTTCTTTGGGGTTTTACATGTAAAATGTTAGATTTGGGGGTGGGCTGGGGATGTGACTCAGTTGGAGAATGACAGCGTAGAGTGCACAAAGACCTGAGTCTAACCCTCAGTACTCCCTAAGCCAGGCCTGGTGTCAAGCCCCAAACAGGGTGTGGCGGTGCATGCGTGTGGGGCCAGCAGTCGTGAGGTGCGGGCAGAAGGGCCACTGCGTGTGTGAGTGTGTGTGGTGTGTGTGTGAGGTGAGTGTGTGAGCGTGTGTGTCCATGTGTACTACATGTGCCTCCTATGGAGATCAGAGGATAATTTGCAGGAGTTGGCTCTGTCCTTCCACCATGTGGGTCCTGGGGATCAAACTCAGGTCATGGGCTTCACAGTAAGCAACCTTATCCACTGATCATTCTCACGACCAGCAGAGTTCAAGATCAGCCAGGAACATGAGACTTTCAGAATAAACAATGACAACAAGTGAAGTTTAGTGTTGGTCTGTCTAGAGCTCCTTTCCCTTACCTCTTGGTAAGGAAGGCACCTTCACTGACAAAGGGACTAGTTATCAGTATCAAGACTTGGTCAACCGTGTCAGTGAGCCCGAGTGTCTGGCCTGCGTGTGGGCGGTGTAGGCAGCTCTGGGCATCCCCGAGGTTGTGCAAGCATGTCATCTGAGCAGCAGTTGCACAGAGCCCACTCTGGCCTCCTGAGGAATGCCAGCCACAGACCATCTTTCTAGAAACAGTCCCTTCCGCTAGGTGTCAGGCTCTGTGACGACATCCCTGCTACTAGGTGGGGCTGACCGCCTCTGGCCTCCAGGCCGACGCCCCGGGCCCGCATCAGCTCACGTGGTTCCCTCCAGGTTGCTTCCTCTGAGGGCTGATGTGGGCCGGCAGGTCCCGGAGGAGACAGGAGAGCACCGTGTGTCCCAGTCCTGCCCTGTCCCAGGGATGTGTAGTGAAAGACCCCTACCCAGGACCCCCTAGGAAAAAAAAAGCAAGGCCAGGCCGTTGCCTAATGAAAGAAACCCAGACCAGGTGTCTCACCCTCAAAACAGGATGTCTGTGATCACTATAGCAGTCATGGGACCCAGATAATAATTGCTGAAGCGTGCTGGGAACTTTCATATGACAATACTAGAAAACCTAGTCCTTGGCAACTACCCTGGCCCCCAATTGTGTCTGATCACTATAGCAATCATGGGACCCGGATAATAATTGCTGAAGCGTGCTGGGAACTTTCATATGACAATACCAGGACACCTAGTCCTTGGCAACTACCCTTGCCCCCAGTTGTGTCTATGATCACCATGGTAGTCATGGGACCCAGATAATAATTGCTGAAGCGTGCCGGGGTCTTTCATAAAGTAATACCAGGAAACTTAGTCCGTGGGAACTACCGCTGTCCCCAAGATGAGCCAATGAAATGCCTGTTACTTATGTAACCATTGAAACTCTATAAATATTGTACTCCCTACAAGCCCGGTATGCTCTGCACCCGAGTTGCAGTAGCATCCGCAGGCACCTGTGTACTCAATAAATCACCTCTTGCATTTGCAGCCAGTGGTCTGGCCCCGGTTCTTGGGCAGAGGATTCGGTTCAGTGCCCGGTGCTTTGATGCCGAGGACTTTCAGTAGCCGAGTGGCGGAGACGGCTGCAAGCAGGCACCAGCTGTCTGTCCTTCAAGGCCGCTGGGCCTCTGTCTCAGGATGCCTGGTGTCTCCACGGATGGGCACAACTCCAGGTCACAGGCTAGAGTCCCTTGGCCTAATTCTAGCCCCACAATCCACAGCTTTTCCCAGAGGAGTCACCTTGGCCAGCTCTGGGTCCGACTCAGTTTCCCCAGGTAACCACCCTGCACACTCTGCTCTGCATCCCACCTAGAGCTGATCCCCCAGCCCCCAACACGTGTGGCCTTTTTCACCTTTGCTCCAATTTGTCCCCGTTTGGAAGCTCCGGTTCCATCTGCCAAGCCCCAGGTTCCCTTTAAAAGCCAAGCAAAGTGTTCCCCTCCCCCACACACTCTGCAGACACTCTTGACTGCCCAAGGCATTCTGGGTAGGAGCTCACTACTGTCTGCTTTCCTTCCAAGGGTTCCAGTCCTGTTCTTCAGTGAATTTGGTAGCTCTGCCATCCCCCTTCAAACTCAGGACTCCTGGGATGAGGTTCCCTTGTAGCCCAGGCTAGCCTCAAACTAACTGGCTTTGAACGTCAGGCTCTGGAATGCCGGGACTATGGGCTTGGGTGCCACCCCCTCTCCGTTTAGGTGGCACTAGGGATCAAACCCAGGCTTTGGGTGCCAGGTGAGCTATTCCCCATTCCCTGGGGGGCTCTGTTGTTTTTGTTTTTGTTTTTAGAAACACATAGCCCAGGCTGACTTCAAACGTATTATGTAGCTAAGGACAACCTTGAACTTCTGATCTGCCTGCCTCCGTTTCTCAAGTGCGGGGACCACAGCAGTAGTCTAGCACATTTGGCTTCCAAGTTGATTTAAAAAAAAGGGGGCCGTGCTGGGCGTTGGTGGCACACGCCTTTAATCCCAGCACTGGGGAGGCAGAGGCAGGCAGATCTCTGTGAGTTCGTAGTCAGTCTGGTCTACAGAGCCAGTTCCAGGACAGCCAGGGCTACACAGAGAAACCTGTGTCAAAAAAAAAATCAAAAACAAAATGGGATAAAAAGATGTACTTCATGTCACCTGAGTCTGTGCGTCACGTGTGTGCCGTCAGAGGTCAGAGAAGGTTGTGCCACCCCAGAACCGGAGTTACAGATGGCTGTGAACCACTACGTGGACACTCAGAACCAAAGCAGGTCCTCCGCAAGATCAGTCAGTGCTCTTAACCACCGAGCCACGCCCCCACCGAGCCACGCCCCCTCCGCCCCGTAGCATTTTAAAACAAGCTTTAAGTCACAGTTTGCACTCTGTGTTTGGAAGTAGCTCATATAAGACCCCCCAAGGTCCCACAGCATAAATGACTGGCTGCTCCAAAGCCTTTTTGTCCATGTCCTCCAGAGCCTTCCCAGGCCTAAGCTGGGAGGCAATGGTCCTCACCCTTGGAGCAGGACAGTCTGTGACCATCCGGCCCACGCAGGCTGCCTACCACCCCCACAGGGATTTGTTCCCAGCACCATTCCAGAGCCTTCAGCCACCCAGGCCATGGCTTTCACCCAGGCCTTAGCCACCATGCTGGCACTGCTCACCGGGGTCCGGCCTCACAGCTTCAGTGAGAACTCTGATCTTAAAAAAGGTGAGTAGTGTCCTCTGTGAAGAAAGGGCGGGGACGAGGGCTGCAGAAGCTTGCAGCCGCCCTTCAGTGGGGGATCCACGCCCTGACTGGAGGTGTGGGGGGGCCCCAGATGCACCCACAGCCCTGGACCTGGAGACCAGCACCTCTGGCCCAGGGCCCATCTGCTCCCTCAGCACTGGGATCACCACCCTCCCCCACCCAACATCCCAACCCTCCCTACCCGCTGATTCTGGTCTCCTGCCCTCTCCAAGGCCCCTTCTAGATTCGGTCTTTCTTCCCTCCTCTTCCCACCCTATATACTTCTTTGTTTTGTTTTTCGAGACAGGGTTTCTCTGTGGCTTTGGAGGCTGTCCTGGAACTCGCTCTTGTAGACCAGGCTGGTCTCGGAACTCACAGAAGTCCACCTGCCTCTCTGCCTCCCGAGTGCTGGGATTAAAGGCGTGCACTACCAATGCCAGGCCACCCTTCATAATTTTAATACTAAAATTTCCTCCCTCCCTCCCTCCGTCTATGTACATGCCATCAGAAATGTCTCAGTGGAGTCCGTTTTCTCCTCCCCAGTCTGGGGACTGAACTCGGGTCTCCCATCTTGGGCAGCAAGCACCCTTGGCTGTCTGACCCACCTTGCCACCCCCTCCCTTCCCATTAGCTCTTCAGATTGTGGTCTGGGACTATCCCAGCGCCATCATTTGGGAGCCGTGGAGAGGACAGGGCGTGGGGTGCTCAGTCAGGTCCTACTTGGGGAAGGAGGTGCATGGGGGTGGGTCTGAGGTGACAGCGTCATGGCTTACGTTCCTGGACCCCGGGTCCTTGGGAAACGCCAGGACCTCCTTCACCCCTTCACAGCCAGGATCTGGTGACCAAGGGGCTGTCTCGGCAGGCCGTCGGAGACAAGTGTGTCCACCACAGCCAGTGCTTCAGTGACTGTTGCCTCATAGACCTGGAGAGGAGGGGGGCCTTCTGCACCTCCAAGTCTCGGATGGGCATGGAGTGCTTGCCCCAGGTGAGCGGGGGAGCAGAAGGGAGAGAGAGACAAAACGCATGCCTCTGGCCCCACCCCCTGGGATACCCTCCCCCCCACCCCCTGGGATACCCTCCCCCCACCCCCTGGGATACCCTCCCCCCACCCCCTGGGATACCCTCCCCCCACCCCCTGGGATACCCTCCCCCCACCCCCTGGGATACCCTCCCCCCCTTTCCTGAACAGCTTGTCACATCCAGGGCGGCCTCGCTCTCGGCGATGAAGCTTGCAAAGGCAGCCAGGAAGCCACTGTGAAGTCTCACAGGCTGCTTAGTGGCCGCCCATAGTGGATGCTGGTTGAGCAAGATTCTCTTTCTTACCATTTCTTTTTTTGTTTGTTTTGTTTTTTGTTTTTCGAGACAGGGTTTCTCTGTATTGTTTTGGAGGCTGTCCTGGAACTCGCTTTGTAGACCAGGCTGGCCTCGAACTCACAGAGATCCACCTGCCTCTGCCTCCCAAGTGCTGGGATTAAAGTTTCTTACCATTTCTGATGCAAGGGGGACCGGAGGACATGCCTACCCTGTCCTAGTGGCCATCTCCCTGCCACTGACGGTCACTAGGGACAGCTGCAGGGCTACCTGGGACCTCAGCTCTCTGGTGGGGTCCACACTGACATCCTGGCTCCTCCGCCTCCTGCCTTGGACCTCTCTGACCATTAAGGGGGGACTAACGTGTCTGCCTCGTGAAGTGGCCGGGATGTTCACAGGACTCACTCAAGCAGGCTCTTGTCAGCTGGGAGACACAAAGGCACAGAATGCTTTGTTCCTACTCATTGGCCTTGGGCCCAAACTCTTCCAGGGGGGGATGGACCCAGCCTCCGTATCCTCGCCTGGCTCACTACAGGTGTCTAAAGAGCCAGCCAGGGCCTCGTGTGGCCTGGGGAATGTCTTTACTGGAGCTCACTTGGCGTATGGTACCTTACTGCAGTATGGAGCTGAGCAAGGTCACGGTTCTAGTTGGCTTTCTGTTGCTGGGATAAACAGCGTGGCCAAAAATAACGCAGAGAAGGAAGGATTTGTTGTGGCTTACACGTCCAGGTCACAGCCCGTCACCAAGGGACGTCAGGTGGGGACTGAAGTAGAGAGAGAGGAGAAATGGTCAGGCAGGAGCGAGGAGAAATGGTACCCAGCGGTTCACTCCCAGGCTCAAGCTTAGCTTTTTACACGAGGTTCACCTGCCTAGGGATGACGCTGGCTGCCCACAGTGGGCTGGGCCCTCACACATCAAGGCCAATCTGAGGGAGGCGATTCATTAGTTGCAGGTGACTGTAGGGTATATTAACAGGAAAACCCAGGTGGAGGCGGGACATGGTTGGAGAGCTCAGTCACTCATCAGAGCGCTGGTTCCGGCAGGAGACAGAGTTCCATTCCCCGTATTCACAAACATCTGCAACTCCAGTTCCAGGTGACCTAACAAGCATGTAGGCATAGTCCAGGCAGGTAAACACACGAAGCAAACTACATCAAAAAGAGAAACCAGGACAGCTGCTATTGTCCCCTCTGGGCAGAGCGGTGCTCAGCCGTATGAATCTGGGGTTGGGCATGTCCCACCAGCACTTACTTACACTCCTGGGCGGCTCCCCAGGAAACGTGACCCCTCACTTCATACCCTTCTTTGCCCACAGACCAGGGGAACCCTGAACATCATGTGTCCCTGCCGAATTGGCTTGAGCTGCCATTCCAAGGACCCCATGTGCCCCCGCCGGTGCCAAATGATCTAGAGGGAACACAGGCTGCTCACGGGCACTGCTGCTGCACCCTCCCCCAGGTGTCCCCAAGCAAGCTTGTCCTCATTAAAGTCACTTCCTGGCTCTGGTCTCTGTCTGCCCTTCGTGGGTGGGAAAGCCACAGGGGGTGATTTGAGAGACAAAGATCTGCTCCTGGGTGGGGGTGATGGGGGTTGGGAGAGTTTCATGGGAGGGGCAGGGCGGAGAGATGAGACTTGGGGTGCGTGGTGGGGAGGGACAGAGTGGGGGGCTGTTTTGTGAGGGGCACAGGAGGGTGACGGTCGCTTGGAGTGTGTCTCTTCAAATGCGTGGGGATGTGTAGACTGTGTGCCAACAAGATGGTTCAGCAGGTGAGGGCACCTGCTGCCCAGCCTGGTGACCCGAGCTCAGTCCCCAGGTTTCGCGTGGAAGGAGAGAATGGAGTCCTACAAGTTTGTTCTCTGCCATCCACACGTGCAGCACACAAAATGAATAACTGGCTTTTAAAAATTTTTATTTATGAAAAATATTTATACGCATTGATGTTTTGCCTGCATGTGTATCTGTGTGAGGGTGTTGGGTACCCTGGGACTGGAGTTACACACAGTTGTGAGCTGCCACATGGGTGCTGGGAATTGAACTCAGGTCCTCGGGAAGAGCTCTTCCAGTGCTCTTCACTGCTGAGCCGTCTCTCCAGCTCAAATTTAAAAAAAATAAACAAATTGATGCAAGAATGTGAGGCTCCAGAGATGGCTAAGCAGTTAGCAGGGCTCCTGCTCATCAGAGGCCCAGAGTTCAGTTCCCAACACCGACATTAGGTGGCTCCCAAATGCCAGTAACTCCAACTCTGGTGACTCCGCTGCCCTCTTCTGGCCTCTACAGGTACTACACATGTATGGTGCAAACACACACACACACACACACACACACATACACACTATCATCATCATCATCATCTTTCTTTTAATGCAAGAATGTGACCAGTGGAGTGTGTGGAGTGTGCCTTAATGGATCCATTATATATAGAGAGAGACACTGAGATTCACCCTCAGGGGTCACCATAGACTTTTCTGCTTCAAGAATACCTGAAAAGTGAGTTTCAGGACAGCCTCCAAAGCTACAGAGAAACACTATCTTGAAAAATCAAAAACAACAACAAAACCAAACAAATAAAACTGAAAAGCCCACCTGAACTGGCTTAAGTGATGAGGGGAATTTGTTCATGGTTAAATATGAAATTCAGAGCCGGGCGTTGGTGGCGCACGCCTTTAATCCCAGCACTTGGGAGGCAGAGGCAGGCAGATCTCTGTGAGTTCGAGGCCAGCCTGGTCTACAGAGTGAGTTCCAGGACAGCCTCCAAAGCCACAGAGAAACCCTGTCTCGAAAAACCAAAAAATAAAAAAAAAAATATGAAATTCAGAGTCACATTATGTCCCAGCTCAGGCCCCACCCAGTCCTGGGTCTCAAGCTAAAGTCCTTCCTAATTGCCTAGCAACGACAGGAGTTCCAGGCATCACCCAATAACATGGAGTTTTTTTGTTTTGTTTTTGTTTTTGTTTTTGTTTTTACGAGACAGGGTTTCTCTGTATTGTTTTGGAGGCTGTTGGTTCAGCCCGGCCTCAAACTCACACAGATCCCCCTGCCTCTGTCTCCCAAGTGCTGGGATTAAAGGCGTGCGCCACCACCGCCCGGCCTAATATGGAGTTTAATGAGCAACATGTTTCCAGGCTGCTGGACCTTCTCCTCTGTCCAATGGAGGCCAGAGGTGCTGGGTTTCCCCCTAGAGCTGGAGTTGTAGGCAGTTGTGGTGATTTGGGCATAGATACGGGTGCTGGGAATTGAGCTGAGTTTGTCTGCAAGAACAATGTGAGCTCTTAACTGATGAGTTATCTCTCCAGTTCATTTCAAGATACTTGTTTTTTTGTTTTTGTATTTTGAGACAGGATTTCTCTGTGGCTTTGGAGGTTGCCTTGGAACTCGATCTTGCAGACCAGGCTGGTCTCGAACTCACCACCTGCCTCTTCCTCCCGAGTGCTGGGATTAAAGGCATGCGCCACCACTGCCCGACACAAGATAACTTTTAAAAAGATGTATTTTTGGCGGGTGGTGGTGGCGCACGCCTTTAATCCCAGCACTCGGGAGGCAGAGGCAGGGGGGATCTCTGTGAGTTCGAGGCCTCCACACCTGCACATGCGCAAACAATATTCCCAGCCATTGCATAATTCTTCAGTCAGGAAGATGAAGCTGGGCATGGTGGTTCATGCTGTACCACAGAGACAAAGGCAGAGTTGGAGGCCAGCCAGGACTACATAGTGAGACCCTGGCTCAAAACCAGGAAGCACAAAACAGTAACAGAACTAACTACCCAGGGCCAGCAGGATGGCTCAGTGGGTAGAGGTCTCTGGGATGCAAGCCGGGGGACCCTAGCTCAGTCCCTAGGCCCCGAAAGATGGAAGGAGAGAACCAACACCTACAAGCTGTTCTCTGACGGCACCTTGTGTGCTCTGGAGCCCGCCCTGATAAATACATAACTCCAAAAAATAAATGATTACTAGGATGAAATATCGTCCCTTCTACTGAACTTGACCATAGAAGTGAAATAAGCCATTTTTTTTTTGAGACAGGGTCTCACTATGTCATCCTAGCTATTCTCTTTGTAGACCAGACTGGTCTTGAACTCACAGAGATCCACCAACTTCTGCCTCCTGAGTGCAGTCATTAAAGGCCACAGAGACAATGCCACGGGTTGACCAAAGCCCACTTCCTTGGAACGTTTCTGCTTGGTAGAAGGAAGGGAAGTGATGTATAATTTTTGGACAAAGCAGAAAAAAAAAAACAGTAACTATGACACAAAAGAAGAAGCCCAGACCCATGCAGAAGCATTCTGAACCCCAGCTACACAGGACCCCAGCTGTGGAGGGCCCCAGGTACAGAAGACGACTAGGAGAAACAAGGGCTTTGGCCCTGGGTTTGGACCATGGTCGTCCCAGAGTCTGGGGTACACAGCCCCTGACCTGAGCTCACAGTGCTCAACACACTTTATTGAGCACATACTACATACAAACCGCTTTTCTCCGTCCAGGACAGGACTGGGGGGAGACGGCAGACCTCAGCAGCAGAGTGCCACTTGAGTATAACCCACAGCTGAGGTTGGCCAAGGCTGGCGGGGAACCTGGGGAACAGGGTTCCAGGTGGGGGCAGGGAGCGTTGGCTGCAAAGTCCAGGCAGAGCCAGAGGAGGAAACCACAGAGAAGAGGGAGCTGGGGCCACGGAAGTCGGAGGACGCGAGTGAACAGAAGAGCAAGAGACCCCTGCCCTCCTGGAGCTGGAATCTGAGGGGAGACAGGGTCAAGTGGGAACAAAACACAAAGATGATAATGTCGGGGAGGTGTGTTCTGGTGAGCGTGGGAAAGCAGAGGGGGCCCTCCACGGCTGGGGCCCTCCACGGCTGGGGTCCTCCACGGCTGGGGTCCTCTGTATTGGGGTCCTCCACGGCTGGGGCCCTCCACGGCTGGGGTCCTCTGTATCTGGGGTCATCCATGGCTGGGGTCTTCTGTACCTGGGGCCCTCCATGGCTGGGGTCCTCTGTATCTGGGGCCCTCCACGGCTGGGGTCCTCTGTATCTGGGGTCATCCATGGCTGGGGTCTTCTGTACCTGGGGTCCTCCATGGCTGGGGTCCTCTGTATCTGGGGTCATCCATGGCTGGGGTCTTCTGTACCTGGGGTCCTCCATGGCTGGGGTCCTCTGTATCTGGGGTCCTCCATGGCTGGGGTCCTCTGTATCTGGGGTCCTCCACGGCTGGGGTCCTCTGTATCTGGGGTCCTCTGTATCTGGGGTCCTCCATGGCTGGGGTCCTCTGTATCTGGGGTCCTCTGTATCTGGTGTCCTCCACGGCTGGGGTCCTGTGTAGCTGGGGTCCTCCATGGCTGGGGTCCTCTGTATCTGGGGTCCTCCATGGCTGGGGTCCTCTGTATCTGGGGTCCTCCACGGCTGGGGTCCTGTGTAGCTGGGGTCCTCCATGGCTGGTGTCCTCTGTATCTGGGGTCTTCTGTACCTGGGGTCCTCCATGGCTGGGGTCCTCCATGGCTGGGGTCCTCAGTATCTGGGGTCCTCTGTATCTGGGGTCTCTGTACCTGGGGTCCTCCATGGCTGGGGTCCTCTGTATCTGGGGTCCTCCACGGCTGGGGTCCTGTGTAGCTGGGGTCCTCCATGGCTGGTGTCCTCTGTATCTGGGGTCTTCTGTACCTGGGGTCCTCCATGGCTGGGGTCCTCCATGGCTGGGGTCCTCAGTATCTGGGGTCCTCTGTATCTGGGGTCTCTGTACCTGGGGTCCTCCATGGCTGGGGTCCTCTGTATCTGGGGTCCTCCATGGCTGGGGTCCTCTGTATCTGGGGTCATCCATGGCTGGGGTCTTCTGTACCTGGGGTCATCCATGGCTGGGGTCCTCTGTATCTGGGGTCCTCTATGGCTGGTGTCCTCTGTATCTGGGGTCCTCCACGGCTGGGGTCCTGTGTAGCTGGGGTCCTCCATGGCTGGGGTCCTCTGTATCTGGGGTCTTCTGTACCTGGGGTCCTCCATGGATTAGGTCCTCCTACGGGGTCCTCCATGGCTGGGGTCCTCCTGGTATCTGGGCCTGTCCTCATCTGTCTGAGAGTCCTCTGTATCCATCTCCATGGCCTGGGGTCCTCTGTAGCTGGGGGTCTCGTCTGGGCCTGCTGAGACTTAGGGTCACTCAAGCAGGTCTCTGTCCAGGACCACCTCCTTGGTTACAGGCTCATCAGTCCTCCACGGTTGGTCCAACCTAACTGGGGTCCATCCATTAGTCTTCAGGTCTCTGTACCATTGCACTCATGCGCAGAGTCCTTCACACCTAGAGGTGCTTCAGCAAGCGGGTCTCACTTAGCCATCTGCAAGGTCATCAGCACAAGTGTGGACTTGCCCCCATGGCTAGTCCTGGGGTCCTCTACATTCGCGCTGGGTCTTTCTGAATCTGGGGTCTCACTAGCTGGTCCTGATGCTGGGGTCCCTACTGTCTTAGTCCTGTAGTCCCCACGCAGAAAGTCCTCTAATCTCGACCGGACCTCCGTACATCAGGC